CGCTGTGAACATTACCGGCAAAGGAATGCCTTGACCTTGAATGATTTATAGCTAAAGCAGCTCTCATTACAGCATAAAGAGAGTTTTGTGTGACAGGTTTAAAAAGGCGAAGTCACGCACTGCACACGTCCTGCCTGCTGTGTACTCTGTCGTGTCCCTGCGTGTCGATATTCTGTACCGGACTCCTCCAGCACATGGCTGAATCCTGAGGAATGAGACCAGGTAACAGTCACCTGTGCCCCCCCGCCCCCCCCACATGCACCAGGGTGGAAAGCGGGGGCCCCAAGAACCCCTCCAACATGAAAACACGATTATTATTTTGTGTATTACTGTCACTTCCTGTTTCTAGCTCATCTACCAATAGGATGTGGACTTTGGCCTGTCGTTGTCTGACAGGTAGTTTACCTCTTAGCAAACCATCATCTCCCATGATCACAGAAATCTCTGCTAGTTTAACAATCAGGTGACATTTTCCCTGCCACAATTTTAGTGGTGGGATTTTTCGTTTCCACAGAGAAGCCCAGGGACTTGTTGCAGCGGCAGCAAAGAATTTTGCCTTTTGTCAGCTTGGTTAGCGATAATGAAACTCCCGGGTGCGACAGCGGTGGATCTGCATTACGGGAACCCCCGACAGTTGTTATCTGTTTGTTTGTCGCTTCTTGAAAATGGCATTTAAGTGCGACATGCTGCACAGGTCAGTCACTGACCCCTGCTACGACGCCGAGGGACAGCTCTGAGAAAACAGCCGTGCTATAACTGCCTGTTCCATGCTGGCTCATGTCTGGCATTTTCCTGCATATATTACTGCCATTAGCTCTATAGCAGAGGCAGATGGAGGCTATGACCTGTGACCTTTGCCCTCAGTGTAGCTAGTATGGCTACCTGGTCATGTTTTGACTCAGTGACAGCTGAGGTGCTGCTGGTGTTCATCAGACCTGCTCCTAGGTAGGATGTCGACAGATCAACATGCCAAACTGTTTCCTGTTTTGGTGGCTCTCCTGCTCCAGAGAATAATTGTGGTCCTGCCATGGAATCCTGAGATCTGGTTTCAAAGAGGTGCCCTGAGGGCCCTTCAGCCAGGAAGGTGGTGGTGTGCTGGGGAGGGGGTGGTATCTGGCAGGTTTTGAGGGTGTAGCCATCATTCTGCTCTGATGGTGTTGAGCTAACCCTTCTAAAGTGACAGATGCAAAACCCGCTGCTTGTAATTGGCGCTGCATTAATTGGATTTACAGTCGATCCAGAACATATAGACAAATGCGGGATATGGTGAGAGGACGTACTCGTGTGGGTGTAGCTTTGAAACGATTTAAGGCACAGATGGAATTAGCACAGCTTATCTGTGTCACCGTAGTTCCGTTGCCGCTGTCTCACTCCGATTCCACGATGAATGCATGTCCTCGGTATCCCAGCATGCACCATGCTCTGTGGCCACATCCTTACACAGCCTGTGCTGAACGCTAGCAAGTGGAGTGATCAGAAGCCGGTGAAGCGGACCGTGCAAACAGACATCCCCCCCCAGGAAGTGAAAAGGACCAGCACAATACCCCCCAGGGGGCCGGAGCTACCGCACTCACTGAGGCTGAAAGTCAGCCTGAGAGCTGAAAGCTTCAGCTTGGTTTTCGGTCCTGGGTTTGTAGCCTGTAACCATCTAACTATCCCTTTCAAGCCTCACCACCAACTTTCAAACGCTTTCTAAGTGTCACTTTCCCCTTTTCAACAAAACCGGCTAGATGATTCCCGCCAGCTAAACCAGGAACAACCGCCTCACCCACAGCTTTTCCTCCTTTCCTTGACACCCCTGGCCCCCTGGCCCCCTGTCCACTGCACACTAATTACCCATCTCTCCATGGGCACAGGAACCCGGATTCAAGCCGGCCGGCAGCTGCATCACCAGCAACACAAATCGCTGGTCTCCATCACAGCCCCAGCCCGAAGGAAGTGTGCGCTTGTGCACTTATACACACACACACACACACACCATTTACTCATCATTGCCAATCTCCAGGTGTGTCCAAAATGAGCTTCATCCACTCATTTCGATGTTCTCTACTTGCCCCCCCCTCTGTTTCATCCGATTGGGTCACAGCAGAACCCGCTGGGCTGCTGTGGCATTTGCGATGCTCCAGGTTGGGGCAGAACCCAGAACCCTCCCAGCCTGGCGTGAGACGGAGGGAGAGTGATGATTATTAGTCACACGGAGGCTGGAAAGAACCAGCAGGAATGACAAAAACTCCCTGAACATGAAAACATTCTGGAAGGGGTGTTTTGCATGATGCGTGCCCCAAACATGATTGAAACTGTTGTTTTTTCTCTCTCTCTCTGTTTATGCACATGCCTGCAGTTAACCTCAGAACTACAGTAGATGTTTGGTAAATGTTCACTTCGCTATTCTGCTATCTGTTGCAAAACTTTTTTCTGTACTTTCACTTCTCTCAAGGTTCCAGTGACTGTAAAACACAAAAAAACAGGTTTAAATCAGGCACCCAATCAGATCACCACGGGCCGAAATTAAAGGTCCCTCTCTTAAAAACAAGAAATTTACAAACGAGAGGAGGCCATTTAGCCCATCAAGCTCGTTTGAGGAGAACTTAACTGATAACTCAGAGTTGTAAAAATCTTATCTAGCTCTGATTTAAAGGAACCCAGGGTTTTAGCTTCCACTACACTAGCAGGAAGACTATTCCATACTCTAACTACACGCTGTGTAAAGAAGTGCTTTCTCAAATTCATTTTAAAGTGTTCTCCCGTTAATTTCCACCTATAGCCACAGGTTCCTGTATTTAAACTAATATTGAAGTAACTATTTGGCTGAACAGCATCCAGACCTGTTAGAATCTTATATACCTGGATCGTGTCCCCCCTTAGTCTCCTTCGCTCGAGGCTGAATAGATTCAGCTCAGCTAACCTCTCCTCATAAGACATTCCTCTAAGCCCATAAATCATTCTCGTAGCCCTATGTTGAACCCTTTCCAAGGCAGCAATGTCCTTTTTAAGATATGGTGACCAAACCTGCACACAATATTGTAGGTGGGGTCTTACCAAGGAATTGAATAATCGTAGCATCACCTTCCCTTGACTTCAGCTCCTCACACCCAGAGATGTAACCCAATAACCTATTTTAATTATTCTTCTTGTCCATCTTTTGTCAGTAGGGACAGAATGTAACTTCATGTCACATGTATCATGTTATCAGCTCTTTGGGTCCTGTGACTCGTGTGGTTTTCCTCTACTAATTATAAACTGTCATAAAACGTTAGTGGCTATATTTGTGAAAACATCTTGTGTCAAATGTAAAGTGTGATGAAACGCTACAAAGAGGAAGAAGTCTTGAACAAAAACATTCTACAAGGGCTCCTTACCCACACTGGCAACCCGTCCAGGCTAGACCCCAACCTCGAACCCTATGCTCTAGTCTCCTCAATTTTCATGACCATAATATGTGGCTGGGTGGTGGATGGATGGACTAAAAAGGTCCCCTATTCTGTTGGTCTACACCAGGGGTGCCCAACTCCAGTCCTGGGGGGCCGGAGCCCTGTGTAGCTTAGTTCTTTCCCTGTTCCACCATAAATGATTCAGCTCAAGAGCTGTGTGGTAATTAGCACAAGGAGTGGAATCAGGTGTGTTAAATGAGGGGAAACTCAAAAATGTGCAGGGCTCTGGCCCCCCAGGACTGGAGTTGGGCACCCCTGGTTTAGATTCAGTTGTGAGGAAGAAAAAAAAATAATAAAAAGACCCCCCTCCAAAAAAAGAAAAACAACAGCTGAGACAGAGCCGACGTGGGCGTATGGCTCTAGGCTAATTTAAAGGAATCAAACGGTTCATAAATAATAGAGAGGAAGTATTGTAGTGCAGAGGAGCGAACCTCCGTCAGCCATGACTCTCTCCAGCACCGATCGCGGGGTGAAAACGGGCCGTGTTATGTGGGCGGTAATCAAATTTTAAAAGCCGTCTATCTGGTGCATCTTAAGATTTACATTTGCTCAGCGTGCTTGGGGGTGGCTGGTGTGTGTTGTAGTTTAATGTACATGGTTTTGGGGGTGGGGATGGGGGGGGGGATCGCTCTCAGGCTGTGACTGTGTGGTTTTGTGGGGGGAGGGGGGTGGGAGAGCGTGGTCTGTTTAAACTGCAAGTCAAAGGGCTTCAGAGTATATTTTTAGTGGATTTCCAGGGACAGTCAGTTGTTCTGTACGGACAGTAAAGATCAACGGGTCCTTTCAGTCCGTACAGCTTTAAATGCTGAAATATGATGCGCTGATGCACTCATCTCAGAGACACGCAGTCGTCATTTACAGATCGGGCCAGTTTGATGATGCCCTGCTGGAAGACGCTGGCATCGTGACTGTCAGACTTTCAATCTGCACATCTATAACGAAACTCTTTCAGGTGTCTGGGAACCGCTGATCTGAGACACGTGAAGGGGTAATATAAAGCCATGTGGTCTGTTCACAAAAGAAAACAAAATAAAATAAGAGCAACGTACCGCAGTTACCCCTGATGTGTGCTCGACTGGGAAGGGTGAGACGCGTCCCTCACGGTCGCGGGGGAGAGCAGTAAAACACCATTAACAGGATGTGCTGAAACAGGAAGAACGATAGGGCTAAGATGGAGGCAAAAGGGGAGAATAACAATTCAGCCTACAGATCTAATATCATATTGACATAAGCAGGAAGGTGCCTGTGTAAAGGGAGGACTGGTTTAACACTTTCCCCCTCTTGTGTGATGGGGTGGCAGTGTCTCAAGATAGGCTACGTTTACACCAAAGGATAAAAAATAAAACAAGCTGACACTCTAGCAAAAGGCCCAGCTGAAGTGATTAATAAACATTAAATGGGATATTTGTCACTCAAGGCGAAGCATTAACACAGAAAGACTGAAAGCCCCGTGTAAAATGAAGTACGATTTAAAACGTGTCTTAAGGCTGGTATCTTATTAACCCGTGGTATATCGACAACGTCTAATCTGTTTAGGAATAAAAGAGACAGGAGAAAGGACTGGGCGAAGAGGACAGATTGCATCGGGTTTAACAGGCGGGGGGTGGCTGAAAATTGTGGCGCAAGACTGATTGTTGGAGGGGGGAAGCAGATGACAGGCGCTTATCAGCGAGCGAGAGAGAGAGAGACGGAGAGAGAGAGGGGAAGCGGAGAGAGAGAGGGGGTAGGGAGCGCGAGCCGGAGCCACTGTCACTCGCCATCGGAGTGCGGATCACGCCGCTTTTCGTGCAGCCAGACAGGCATCTCGCCATGGTCTCCATCATCTCCGACCTGGATCCGCTGAAGAGCTGGAGCGCCTTGCGGTAAGAGCGCGGCGGCTCCGGCTCGGTTGTGCCCGGTTCTGCTTGTTTCCGTGTTTGCGACTCTTTCAGTCCCGTCTGCGTGTGTCGGGCGGCCGCCGGGTTTAGTGCGAGCCGGTGTGGCGTCCGAGGCTCAGAACCAGGCTGAATCTGAGCCAAAATGACCGACTGATCCGTTTAGGGTGCAGTTCGGTGGGGTTCGGTTCGGGCTGGCCCCCTCTTGAAATAGCGTGATTCTCATTTTGGAGCGGGGGCGGGGGCTCCTTCGCAAAGGCAACGTTTCGTTTAACCCCTCGGAGACTTTGCACTTTAACTTTTCACACCACGAGCGAGGAAGACGAGGCGAAATCGCACTTTACCGCCATGGGCGTTGCGGACTGTTTTCTAACGTTGTTCTATATTTGTATTTATCCCTAAAGTTTAATTTAACATATCAGCTCATACATCTGCAGGATGACTATCAGTTGTCCGCCATGTAGCCGTGTCCATGCTTTATTTAAGCGATTTTACGACACTGACAGCCATGCGGTCCCTCTTGTGCGCTTATCTGCAGCGGAGCTTATCGGCGTAACGGGCACGACTTAACTTCCCCCTTTATCTGGCGGCCGTCGCAGCGAGGCTTTCCCTCCGCATTACGTCTTTTATTAAATAGGTTATTGACGCTTATGCGTGCAGTTTGAAGCTTCATTCGTGATGCATGAGATCTGCTGAGACATTAATTAATAATTAGGGTAATGACCCTGTTTTTGATGTATTATCTGAAGGGACTTCTGATGCATTATAATGAGGGGGATTGCTGAAAAGTTGTTTACAGTCTGGCTGTGCAGCTGACACAGGAGGAATCGAAATCATAACTACATGAAGTCATGTCCGGCTGGAGTCTGGCGTGCTTACGCTGCAGGTGTGGAGTGCACCTCTGGGGTCTTGATGGTGTTAAACAGCCTCTCCATTCAGATCTTTGTTTTTACAAAGAAAACATGAAGTTGGTCTTTGTACAGGAACATCACTCATAGTATCTTTTAAAGAAGTCTTCCCAAACAAATAGTGTGTCACTCCTAAGGCATGTTGTTATTACTGGTGAAGGGGGGGGGGTCCTACCCTGAGGAACAGGGAGGGAATCTGTATCTCCATCCCTTTATGAAAGCTCTGGGCTCTCATATCGGGTTGTGATCTTCATGAAGGACCAGAACATTGTGCAGCCCATAGTCCCTGGCAGAGTCTGGTCTGCCTGCCGGATGAACCCCCCCCCCTCCCCAGGACTGCTCCCCTCCCTCCGGGGGCTGCCCTCCATTCAGCTTTCTGAGCTGGGCTCCTCTTTGTATTATGGGCTTGTGATTTCATGCGGTAGGTTCCTGTCAGCCTTGTCCTGCATCCAGGCTGTGGGCTGTTTCTAATCCCACTCGTATATCTGACAGTCCGCTGTCCCCGGCAGCCGGCTTTGCCTGCCTGCATCTTTTCGTTGGCCAGGGCTGAGTTATATTCATTCAGATATTGACTTCCTTTTTTTTCTTCTTTTTTTTTTTTGAGAAAATGCTTCTGAACAGATGAGGCCCTTTTCTCGAGCTCAGTGTGACAGATACCGTTTGGGTTTTCGTTCGCTTTGCTCTTCTCTCTCTCGTTTTTGCCTCTTATCTGCTCCTGATTCCGTTCTCGCCGGGTCGTTTTCCTCCAGATGCATCTGAGAGAGGCTGTTTTGGTGTTCACATGCCTCTCGCCATCCCCACCCCCCAACCTCACACACACACACACACACACACACACACACACACACACACGCGCACGCACGTCTGCCCTACACGTGCGGCCTCTTTGTATGTGACCCGCGAGCTGTAACCCGTGTCCCGGTTACTAGCGACAATGGAAGAATTAAGTAATGGTGCGACTTGGCACCACTTTGCTGCGTTAATCACAACCACACTTAGGTGCTGTAATGAATGTGGTTCTGCAGAAGGCTGGTTTGGGCTGAAACACATTCAGAATGTGGTTAGTAAAACGCGGGACGGCACTTGCGGCTGACTGCGTTTTTAAACGATGCTGTGTATGGGCCGTGTTATAAATAGGACGTTATGTTATTTTCTGCATGTAATCAAAGAGACGTCGCTCACGCAGTAGCGAGTTAAAGGTCGCAGTTCACCTGTGAAGCCTGAGGACTCCGCTGACTCCTGACATCACTGTGCCGGCGTAATTAATCCAGCTAATAGCCTCGCTCTCTGTGCCAGCGTGGGATCTGAGCCACAGCGACACTGCATCCGCTCCCCCGTCTTGCTAATTATTTAGACACGGCGATAGGTGCCGGCTAGAGCACTCCGATCGGGCCGGGGACCTGGGCTTATGGCGGCCCATGTCCCTGCAGGCCACGGCCCTGCTTTCGTGCTACGACTGGTTGGTGGTGTTGGTGCTCTGGAGTTGCAGTGTATTGGTATTACAATACACTGGCATTACATTTATAGCGTAGTACACTGCACTGTTGTTACAGCATGTTGGTGTTACGATGCACTAGCATTACAATTACAGCATGTTGGTGTTACACTGTACTGTTCTTTCGGTGCGTTGGAGTTACATTGTGCTGGCATTATGGCATGTTGATGTTGTGCTGCACTGCTGTTACACTGTGTTGGTACTGTGCTGCACTGGAATTACAATGTGTTGGTGTTAGGCTGCACTGGTGTTATGGCATGTTGGTGTTGCACTGCTCTGGCATTACAGCATGCTAGTGTGTCATCGTGCTGACATTACGGTTGTTGGTGCTATGCTGCACTTGCATTACAGTGTGATAATGTTACACTGTGGTGGTGTTACACTGTGGTGGTGTTACGATGTGTTACTGTAGCTTTCTGACAAGCATTGCAATACAGTACTCTGGCTTTCTTGTGATCAAGTTGCGTTAGTTACGGTGTGTTGAGTTAGCGTTACGTGTGGTACTGTACTTCCTACCTGTCTCTTCCAGTATCAGGGTCCAACAGGCTCAGTTCCCTGCATTCTCACCTGTGTTTGCTGTAGCAGTGAAATGACCCCCAACATCTCTGAAAGGTCAGTCTATTTTTGCAGGCAGTTAGATTAAAAATCTTATTTAAAACTGTACCACCCTACTTCTGAACCGAGGTGTGTTATTTGAAGGTTATCACTGACGGTCTGCATATGCAGTGGTTCACATGAGCACCCTGGACCGTCCCCTGCCCACTGTGTGGGATGGTCTGCTCTCATACCAGCTGTGGCTCAAGTGAGTTCTGTACTTTTCTGGCAGGAAGTTCAACCTCCATTACTTTCTCACTTCTCACTTCTGCCAGTGGCCTTGTGAGGGGGGGGGCAGAGGGGGCCCTTTTGGCTTTGTGTAATTAGGGCTGAAGACCGTCAGGATCGCATTTGTTGACTTGATCCAATTTACAGCTGTGAATGAAGTGGATGTTTAAATGTGTTGATTTAGATAAACACTCCACTGTTTGTTATTCTGGGTGAATGGGGATTGTGCAGCATGAGGAAGGAGAGACCCCTCGAGGAGAGAGCGGACAGGGAATCAAGCTGCATGAGGAAGAACAAGGAGAGACCCCTCGAGGAGAGAGCGGACAGGGAATCAAGCTGCATGAGGAAGAACAAGGAGAGACCCCTCGAGCAGAGAGCGGACAGGGAAAGGCAAAAAAAAGGAGGGATGTCTATGGAGCATAGAAAGGCTGCACAGGTTACCGGAGGCTTCTTGCTCCTGGTCACTGTCTCCGCCCATTCTCCGTCACTGTCTCCGCCCATTCTCCGTCACTGTCTCCGCCCATTCTCCGTCACTGTCTCCGCCCATTCTCTGTCACTGTCTCCGCCCATTCTCCGTCACTGTCCCCGCCCATTCGCAGTCACTGTCCCCGCCCATTCGCAGTCACTGTCCCCGCCCATTCGCAGTCACTGTCCCCGCCCATTCTCCGTCACTGTCCCCGCCCATTCTCCGTCACTGTCCCCGCCCATTCTCCGTCGCTTTCCCTGCTTGCTTGCGCCCACTTCAGTCTCTTTCCCACTAACTCCTGGGTGCTGTTTTTCCGGCCTGCTCCTTGTTGCTTTTCCCTGTAACTGTTCCCGATCGCTGTTCCCACCTGCTGTCTGTCGCTGATCCTACCCACTCTCGTCACTGTCCCCGCAAACTCCCCGTTGCTGATCCCCATCACTGTTTCCGCCTGCGTCCCATCGCTAACCTCCGTCACTGTTCATGCCTACACCCCATCGTTGTTCCCCATCGTTCCCTGTCACTGTTCCCATCTGCTCACCATTGCTGTTCCCAGTCATTGTGCCCATCCATTCCCCATTGCTGTACTGTCTGCTCCTCAGCGCTGCTTCCCGTTGCTGTTCCTGGTTGCTGTTCCTACTCACTCTCTTTCGCTGTCCCTGCCCACATCCTGTCACTGTTCCCCGTTGCTCTCCATCGCTATACCACCTGCTCCCCATCACTGATCCCTGTTTGCTGTTCCCTGTGGCTTTTACTGCCTGCCTTCCGTCGCTGTTCCCACTCACTCCTTCTCTCTCTTCGTTGCTGCTCCTGGCCATCAGGCCTTAATGGGGCCTGTCCCACATTCCTGCGAACAAGCCCACTTTCACACACTGCTATGAAACTCGGGGCGGGTTCCAGATGTCCCAGATTTCAGGGGTATAATTACAGATGTCAGCTCTGCGGAGCAGGATGGAGGCTGTGGCTGAGCTACAGGTGCCGGCTGCCATTTGTCTTTCTTTGTAAAATGGCCATGTTTTAAGTTTCACACGTAGCCTGAAGGTGATGGGGAGTCTGTTTATCACCCAGGGTGTGTTTGCGGTGGGTGGGGGGTGCTGGCACAGTCTCAGGGGGCTTCCCTGCACCTGGTCTCGGGTTTGGAAGTCTGCAGGGCCAGCCCTCCCCCCACAAATGTGCCACAGAGGAGTGTTAAGCCTATCCGCTGCCGGACCTGAGGATGCCAGGATCAGGTGGGCCGGCCAGGGCCACTTCCCACTCTGACTCACGGGTCTCAGTCGGCGAGATCACCGTGGCTGCGGAC